TCCTTGGCTAAAACCCTAGAGTCTCTTTCCATTGATGTATGCAGTGTCTCCGAAACACGCATACAGGATTCCAGTGTGGTCATTCACTTGACCTCACCTCGGCAAAACGGAGAGCCAACGAGATACACCCTATGTGTATCTGGTGACCCGATGGCCAGTTCTCGTGGACTGGCAGGTGTAGGCATAACACTAAGCATGAGGGCGGAACAAGCACTGCTAGAGTGGATCCCCGTCAACAGTCGTCTATGTGCTGTTCGGCTAAACGGCTCCGTAAGAACTCGGAAGGGTAGGGACACACGTCGTTGCCTTTTTATCGTTTCTGCCTACGCTCCCACTGACTGCAGCTCAGATGATGTGAAAGATGAATTTTACAGAAAGCTTTCTGAACTTCTTCAGAAAGCTAAACGCTCAGACATAGTACTCGTAGGGGGTGACTTTAATGCTCAGATAGGTAGCTTAAACCAAACAGAAAGGCATTTAGGTGGATATTTTAGCATTCCGGCACAGCGAACAGATAATGGTGACCGTCTGCTGCAACTGTGCTCAGACAATCGCTTATTTTTAGCAAACACAAATTTTAAGCATAAGGAGAGACATCGTCTAACATGGCGACCCCCTACACCAAACCAACGATGGACTCAAATAGACCATATTGCCATCAGTCATCGTTGGAGAGGGTCGGTAGAAGATTGTCGCTCATACTGGAGTACCTGCTTGGACTCCGACCACGCCCTAATACGGGCACGCATCTGCTTGCGCCTCACCGGACGCAAAAAAGCCACATTGAAAAGACCCATTAGAACTGAGTTGAGTAACGAGAAAACCAAAAATAGGTTCCAAGAACAACTGAGTTCACACTTAGGTAGTTCTGAAAACGAGGCTGACCCAGATGTTGCTTGGAAAGACATACAAGCAGCTGTGGAAGCAGCAGTGACATCTATTAGCAACTTAAACCACAGAGTTTCAAAGAACCAGTGGATTTCTTCAAAGTCTATCGCACTGATGGATTCTCGCAAACTCGTCCCATCAGGTTCCGAACATGATGAAGAGCGACAACAAATCAGATCTAGGTTAAGAAAAAGTCTAAGAAACGACCGTGAGCAGTGGTGGGCAACGAAAGCAAAAGAGATGGAAAAGGCAGCGTCTATAGGGAACACAAGACAGCTTTACAGACTAATAAAAGAAACTGGAACTAATAAGTCAAGTGTAAGTGAGATTATATCGGAAAAAGACGATACACTCATCTGCTCCCAGTCCAGGCGTTTAGAACGATGGGCGGAACACTTTAGGGAACAGTTCAGCTGGCCTTCAGCTACTCTACAACTACCCTCCATTCCGAGACAGCGTGAATGGAACATTGAAGTAGGTCCTCCAACTCTTGCTGAAGTTCAAAAGGCTATAGATAATCTGAAACGAGGAAGGGCAGATGGACTGGCTCCAGAAGTCTTTAAGGATGGTGGTCCAATTTTAGCGATTAGGTTGACTAATATTTTAGCTAAGATCTGGGAGTTAGACGTTATTCCATCTGACTGGTCACAATCACTTATCGTCCCAATATATAAGAAAGGGTCAAAATCATCCTGTGACAACCACAGAGGGATTAGTTTAACTAATATAATATCTAAAATACTAGCCTCAATAATAATCAGACGCCTAACTAAGACTCGTGAACTGCAAACACGAGAGAATCAAGCTGGCTTCAGACCTGGTCGTGGCTGCATCGACCACATATTCACCATTCGTCAGGTTCTAGAACACAGGCATACTTATCGGCGTCCGACAATGGTGGTCTTTCTTGACTTAAAAGCAGCATTTGACTCGGTAGACCGCGAGATTCTGTGGCAGTGTCTGTCATTGAAAGGCGTACCCCAGAAGTACATAAACCTTGTAAAGGCTCTTTACTCGAACACTACTAGTCGAGTGAGAGCTTATGGCGAACTGTCATCTACTTTTGCAACCTCAAGTGGTGTCCGTCAAGGATGTCCACTTTCCCCATTTTTGTTTAACTTCATCATAGATCTACTGATGGAAATAACTTTCTCGTCGACTGAGTTCTCGGGTATTGATCTCCATCCAGGAGGTCCGCTTATCGACTTAGAATACGCAGATGACATAGTCCTGTTTGGTGAAGACGCTGACAAAATGCAGAGTCTTCTGGTAGCACTGAGCAACAATGCCAGGATGTTTGGAATGCGCTTCTCTCCCTCTAAATGCAAGTTGTTGCTTCAGGACTGGTCTGCGTTAACACCTGAACTAAGGATAGGGAGTGAAGTAGTCGAACGCGTTGACAACTTCACTTATCTTGGAAGTCTGATCAGTCCTAGTGGGTTGGTATCGGACGAAATCTCAGCACGGATTCGAAAAGCTCGTTTGGCTTTTGCCAACTTACGTCACCTGTGGCGAAGGCGAGATATCCGTCTATCAATAAAAGGACGAGTATACTACGCGGCAGTCCGTTCTGTTTTAATTTACGGCAGCAAAACATGGCCATTAAGAGTAGAAGACACTCGTAAGCTATTAGTACTTGACCACAGATGCCTTAGAAATATTGCTGGCGTCTGCTGGGATAACCGGGTAAGTAATAGTGAGGTTAGACGCAGGGTATTAGGAAATGATGGTAAATCAGTTGATGAGGTTGTGAATCTTCATCGACTGAGATGGTTGGGCCACGTGTTACGTATGCCTGAACACCGATTACCACGACGTACAATGCTATCCGGTATTGGAAATGGTTGGAAGAAAGTTAGGGGCGGCCAAACCAAAACGTGGCATCAGTGCTTGAAGTCACTAACTTCTAGTCTGAGCCATGTTGGTAGATGCAGACTACTTGGTTGAGGTTCGTGTGACTATCGTAACCAATGGTTGGAGACTCTTGGTGACATGGCTCAGAATCGATCACAATGGTGTCGGTGTATACACTCCCTGTCTTCCCTTAAACTAAGAGATTAAAATCGCTTCATATCTTTCTTTCTTCTTGTACTATATCTCTATATGCAATCTTCTCTTATATATTACCACCTTTTACCTAACCACTGTTATGGATCCTGTGTTCATCTTGTTGTGCTGATGCGGTATGGCAACCTGGACCGATGCACATATGTGCCTGGTCCTACGTTGTAGCTGACTGAACGATTCGAAGTCATAGACAATTTTTTTAACCAGAAGGATAAATGTTTATGTTATAAAATGATATGTTTACGTATATAATAAACATTACAAAGTGTCATAGGTGATTGAAAGAAATTAGTTTATAGATTAATTACTCCAATCAGTCAGTCCTAATTTTTAGCGATTGTATCAGTTTTCTTGAGGAACAACAGTTAACGACATAATAGGTCTTTTACATGGCTTTATTTTTTCGCTCATATACGCCCAACAATGTCTCATGAGTAGTTACATTTTTAGATTCATTGTCTTGAAAACGTTTAACGAATCTCTGTAACAATCTTCAAATACCACTATCTTGAAACATCGATTTCGGTGGCTTGGACATGTTCTACGAATGTCGTCCCAGAGAATTCCACGTCGTGCATTATTTGCCGACTCTGCGACTGGTTGGAAAAAGCGGAAAGGTGGTCAGTATATGACATGGTGTCGTGGCATGAAAGAAAGCTACAAAGGGTTGGCTTGTGTTGGTCCTTCATGACTCCCTGACTGGGGTTAGAGAGATGGTGCAACACAGTGGTTAGAGACGTTATCTGATATGGCTCAGAATAGAAGTCATTGGCAATCCTGCTGTAACCTTCTTTTACTTTCTTCATAAAAAAATGGTTGTTTCTTCCTTAACTGAAAGATTTCTTATGGTTGTATCTTCCCATTTCCCCCATTATTATTATTACACTACCTTACACTAATCTGTTCGTTATTGTTCTATTCTTTTCTTTCTCTTCGAATTTCCATTGTTTTATGTGGGGCATATATACTTGGTGCCCCCTTTACCAATATTTATGTGTTCAAATAAATAAATACCACTTTTAAGTCTTCCGTAACTGTGAAATAATAAAACTAGATCTCAATCTACTTGAAGTAATAGTATTTCGGGATTTCATCATCCTATTTCGATTAAATTTTGTTAGCCATATGACTGATATAAAAAATGAAGTGAAAAGTTGGTGGAGTACTATAGTATTATATATATATATATATATATATATATATATATATATATATATATATATATATATATATATTGTAGCTGTTATTTAGGCGTTGGCTTCGAAACTCATGATATCAGGAAGACTATCTAAGCTGATTTGTCAAGCTATAAGTCGTAAAATCTCGAATACTATCGATTCATCGGGAAAAGAATGAATTCCCAATAAAACCGATTAGTATCTTGCATGTAATAAAAACGATTATGAGATAATATTTGATGATAAGCACCGTTTGTTCTCATAGAATAGGTCGCGAGAGTATTTTATTATCCGTAAAATCAATAGTTTATCTATTCACAATTTGTGCAAAAGAAACCAGATGTATAGAAGAAAAACCTCAATAAAGCTTATGAAACAATAAATTGTTCAGTAACCTTTATCTGGCTGTTTGTATATTTTGACTTTTGTAGATTGACTCTCTGTATCTATAAACTTGCTCTCAGTGCTATACTCTTTCATACTTGTGGAAAGATCTTGACGATTCCCCTGAAAGAAGCTGTATATGATTAGTCGTTTGAGAGGAAATCGAGAGGTAAAGTAAAGCCTCTTAACTTTAAGCTGTACCGCTACATTTTAGGGTTGTTAATAATGCTGTCCTACTGGACAATTTCAAATGAATAAAAGTCTTTGTTTTACCTTTACTCGTCACTAGTTAGTTTACTGATTTGGGAAACAGTCTTTGGACATACTGAAATTCGTTGGGTTGTCTCTTCCGTAGGCTGATGAAACACATCTTGATGTTTATAGATGAATTTAAACTTTTTCATTATAAAATTTGTGGATTGTTCATTTCCTCAGTTTCTGATTTATATTTATCGCTATAAGAATTTGCCACCTTTTTTGTAGGTCCGAATGTAACGATAAAATAAATTCATTATCCAACTCAACTTTGCAAAATGAAAAGACAGAAGAACACGTCAATGTACAAAGTACGAATGAAAATACGAAGTCAACTGATGAAAATACTGGCAAGTTTTCTATTTTTATACTGTCAACAAAATTTCAGTTTTTACCGAAACAAGTTAAATCAATGAAAGAATATTTTATAGTAAAAGACTATAAATTCATTTGAGCACATTGAGGATTCACTTAAAATCGGTATCAATAAAGTGGGGCTAGATAGTTGCTCCAACACTATGGAGTAGGATACTACGATGCAATGAACCAATTTGATTTTATTCTTGTAAGATGACATAAGATCTCAACTAAAGAAGCACTTTATTTCTTCACTTATGTGTTTTTGATTATAATTCTCTAAGTAGATTTATTTCATAATTTTAATCATATGATGAAAATATCTATGGTTTTCCAATCTTTCTAAGTTAAATTCTCAACTATCTGTTTAAAGGTCGTTTGTACAATCACTAACATACTACATGATTAATAATAACAAAGTTATGTGGTATCTTTGTAACCGTTAAAATATGTATGTATATACATATTGATAGGGTTTTAGTTAAATAATTATGGATTATGGACAGTAAATTCATAAGTGTTTTCTTTTCTGGTAAAAAATAGGAGTAAATAACTCACAACGAAACCAACACAGAAGGTGGTCGTTGAAAATCGTTCACGCATGTGTAACGAACTCTCTTACCTTACCTTACCTTACCTCATTTATATACTTATCACTATTAACAGTTGACTTCATTGTATTCGACTATGGGGCTTCTATTCATCTATCAATTTGTCTGTTTGATATAGATCATTTTTAAATAGTTTAATAAGTATAAATGAAAGATCGCGATGTTTTGATTGTTATGTATAGATTTAACTTAACGTCTCCTTACTTAAAACTTTGAATAACTGAATTTAAAACAAAAAACACTGACTAGTATGGACAACTAGTAAATTAAGAATTTATAATGAATTCCGTTTTTCTTTTATAGTTTGCAATGAGATTTTATGGAATGTATTTCGCTAAAAAAAACTTGATGAATATTGTTAAGTAATTCCTAGGTAGCATAGAATATTATTCTGATATTTCTTTTATTTTAATAGTTGAATTCATGAGTCTATCTAAATTAGACCACCATTGAAAACCTGAAAGTACTAGATGACCGTCTCGTTACTATAAAAACCATTTCATTTTTTAAAGTTTAGTGAAATTCTTTAATAAATATATTTAATCTAGTAAAACAACTGAGCATTGGTGAGTAAGGTTTTTTATGTCAAAATCTATCAAGCAAGTATTTTTCGTAACCAATAAAATTTTAAAACTTCCATTATATGTTCATTCAGATTGCTTATCTTATTTTTGAAGTATGCCATTTAAAATTAAATTTTTATTTATAATAAAATTCTTTTTTTCTTTCTTTTTAATTATTCAGATCATCAGCGAAATGATCCCAATTTACCCAGTAATATTGATAAGGAACAGCCTGACGAAACTAGTAAATCAACTATAAACGATAATTCCGTTGGTCTATCCGATAGCACTTATGCTGTCAATATTAATGAACAGTTGAGAACTCCTGAAATCCCCCCTGAAATCGAGACAACTTTGTCAACACCATCATCAGTATCATCATCACCGCACCAACTACCAACAACATCTTTAGAAACATTGAGTACATCTGTGAGTCAATTATTACAAAAAGAAAATAACAGTGAAGACAAAAATGTAACTAACGTTACAAACGATTTATATTTGAGAATCACTCTAATTGGAGATATAACTCATATATTTCGTCTTGCTGTTGATCGGTAAGCAAAAATCTTCTCAGTGATTACAGCAACTTGTTGATAATCAGTATACAATATCTTGCTTATTTGTCTTTATGTTATCACCTGAACCATCTAGTATATTTTTGAGCTACGTTTTGGACTACGAATGGTTTATTAGTTAGAAGGTTGGAAATAGTCAACTAGAAACCCCGCTTGATCTAGGTTTCGTGCTATTTAACAATCTTCATCAAGGCGTGTTTGTACTCTCGAGGAAACTGATAGTGGATCCTAACGTGTGTTACTCAACCGCACAGTATTAAACGATACTTTATTATTTTATTTATTTATTTGAACACATAAATATTGGTACAAGGAGGCACCAAATATATATGCGCCACACGAAACAGTGAGAATTGGGAGAAAAAAAGGTAAGCAGCGTAAAAGAAAAAAAAGAGGAACAATTACGACCAGATTAACGTAAGGTTGTGTAATAATAATAATGGGGGAAATGGAAAGATACAACCATAAGAAATCTTTCAGTTAAGGAAGAAACACCCATTTTTTTATGAAGAAAGTAAAAGAAGGTTACAGCAGGATCGCCAATGGCTTCTATTCTGAACCATATCAGATAACGTCTCTAACCACTGTGTTGCACCATCTCTCTAACCCCAGTCAGGGAGTCATGAGGGACCAACACAAGCCAACCCTTTGTAGCTTTCTTTTATACCACGACACCATGTCATATACTGACCACCTCTCCGCTTTTTCCAACCAGTCGCAGAGTCGACAAATAATGCACGACGTGGAATTCTCTGGGACGACATTCGTAGAACATGTCCAAGCCACCGAAATCGATGTTTCAAGATGCTGAAACCAATTGGATCATCGTCTCTGCGCCCGAACACACGATGTCGAACCTCTGCTATACTGACATAGTGTCGTTCTCAACGGAGTTCAATGATGTTAGGCATGAACCTATATATAACCGATTGTCATAAATAATAATCATACAGTGTTGAGTATCGGTTGATATTACAAAATGAACCATTCAACGTCGATCCAGTGATCAAGAGTAAATAGTTTCACCACTTAGCCCGAAAGGTTGTGGGTACTGTCGGTGGTTGAGTCAGTGCTAACCTAATAAATCCCATACTAGGGTGAAACAACTATTCAATGCCTCCCTCTGGTTTTCATTCCTGGATTTTTTTAAAAATCTGTAAAATAGTCATTTAAACGTTCATTGATTAAACCATTTTAGAAAACATTAGACTCATTTAAATATTATCTATTGCAGATATTAGTAGAAACATTTCTCGGAAAGGTCATTGCCATGACCTTAATTTCTTACATACCTTCATATCTACCTACCTACCTACCTACATACATACATATGCATATGCATATTTTGAAGTTTTAAACTACCTAGTTTTACAAATAAACATCATAGTAGTATAGTTATGTATTGTACTGTGCAGGTAAAATCATAAATTTAAATTATTTCACAGAATTATAAGCTTTTACTTTATACTAGGATTCTAAAATTTCTTTAGCAAAATTACATTCTGTAGAGCTGACAGTTTCTGTCAATTTATTTTTAGTATTATACCCCTTGATTATCTGAAAATTTGTGTACATACGCCAGGTTCTACGTTGTGCCTAAATATGCTACGTTTGGAGAGATCATGATATCATCCAAACCGGCAAACGGAATGAAAGTCAGCAACACAACTACAGGACAAGTTGAACTATTCACTGCGTCCCAGCTCTGGTAACTAGAGGAAGAACACCAGATTTAGCGAGAGAAAAGTGTATTTCACAAGCAGTTGGAAGCACGAACGAACAAGCACACAACTTAAGCGTATATATACAGTATAAAAATGTCCTTTACAAACGTCACAAAATAGCGTATTAAAAGAGGAAACGAACCAATTATATTTAAAGTCCTTCTGAGTCAGAAATACAAACTGAAGGTTAAAACGGGCGCTTTTGGGTGCGAAAATGAGAAATTCAAATTTTAAAAATAAGACGTTTATCAGGTGGTTTCTGGGGATCTAGCATCCCCAATGAAATGACTGACTAACATTAAAAAAAAATATTTTATCCACTTTTGTTACTACTTAACAGCTTGCTTAAAACATTATAATTGGAATTCTACAAATCTCAATCAATCAAATAGATGATACAACAAAACATAGCCACAGATTGCTTGATGTTAAAAACAGTAAAAATACATTAGCTACTTAGAAAACGTAAAAAAGGATTTCTTTTCTTGCTCTTCAAGACTAGACAATATTTTTTCTTTTTTTTCTTGAAATGTTTTCCTAATGCTGAAATATCATCAATCAACTAATCATCTTAATTCTTTATTTGTTTGTTTTAAAAGCCTCACTCAAGTCTACAGTTTTCTTTTACGTGCTGGTGTAGGCAGTTTAGACAAGTATATAGAAGTTAACAATCATTCTGAACAGGTCGTTATTGGAAATTCTGATAAAGTAAGAATTTTATATTGTAGTTAGTAAGTATTTTCAAAGGATGTCAAAAGTTTTTTTTGTCTAGTTTACATTTGGTGAATAAAGAAGGAACGAATTGAGCGAAGAAATTTCTTTTCAATTAGTTTTTCATCATGGCTATACACTATTATATATATGTTTTACAATAATATAATACTCATCGAGTGGATACGTTACGTAATAATTACATAATGACATTTAAATTAACATTAGGTAATTGGAAGAAAGAGGATTATTTATATTCAAAGTAATTATTAAATCAAGAAGTTGTTACGTTGCGTAATATAAGAAACAAAGAAGGAACAGAATTTTAACGGATGATCAATAGGATAGTAGTTACGTAAAAATCAAGAGATGAATGTTGATAAGTTATAAGGTTCAAAAGCAATAGAAACAAAATTACAAAAACTTAAAAAAAAGGAGGTGGAAGAAGTATGAAAAATAGTTCTTATGACGGAAATTTTATACTGAAGGCCAGGGTAGAGAAAGTGGTTGTACGAACTTCTTTTGGATGCAAAGGTCAGGTTTGTGAACATGGAATGCGATGGCTTCCGCATTGTGCAAAAGGCCCACTCGTAAACCATGTGGTAGTTTTGATGGAATATTGTAGATAACCTTAAAAGCTTTATTCAATCCGACTTGATGATTTGTGTTAACCAAGTGACAGAGAATAGAACTTTCAATCACTTTCACCTGTCCTTTGCTTAGCCATGTCGGATGATGTTATGTGATGCGGTGACGGATCTGCCGAATTGTATGCCCTATGTAGCTGGCTCCACAGGAGCAGTTGAAACGATAGGTACACATAGATTTGGCGAATTCTGGCAGTCTGTCTTTAATGGATGTTCTTATTTTCGTGTGGTTGTAGAAGATGACATTTAATTTGGCAGCATTAAACGTTTTTTGTACAGCTCTTCGTAGTTTCTGAGTCATGACTTCTTCAATGGTGTCATTTATGAATTGTAGTTTTATGAATAATAATACACATTTGTAAAAATGAAGAATATTTGAGCGAACAATTGTTTTCAATAACTTCATCATCAGGCTCTACAGTTATAAGTCCATAATTATAATATTTTACAAAGGCCAAAAATAAAGCATGTATTAATGAATTTGACAATGTTAGATGTTAAAAAAGGTAAACGTTTGCATCTGTTACACATTTGTATTGTGTTTGGCTTTTCACTATGGCACTATATTACTTACGCCTGTTACTCCCAATGGAGCATAGGCCGCCGACCAGCATTCTCCAACCCGCTCTGTCCTGGGCCTCCTTTTCTAATTCCATCCAATTCTTGTTCATCTTTTTCATGTCTATTTCCATTTCTCGGCGTAATGTGTTCTTTGGTCTTCCTTTTTTCCTTTGGCCTTGAGGATTCCATGTGAGGGCTTGTCTTGTGACGCAGTTGGATGCTTTCCTCAGTGTGTGTCCTATCCACCTCCAGCGCTTCTTTCTGATTTCTTCCTCCGCTGGGATCTGGTTTGTTCTCTCCCACAGTACGTTGTTGCTAATAGTGTCCGGCCAACGGATCTGAAGTATTTTGCGTAGACAACTGTTAATAAACACCTGTATCTTCTGGATGATGGCTTTCGTAGTTCTCCAGGTTTCCGTCCCATACAGTAGAACTGTCTTGACATTTGTATTGAAAATCCTGACCTTGGTGTTGGTTGACAGTTGCTTTGAGTTCCAGATGTTCCTCAGTTGTAAATATGCTGCTCTTGCTTTACCGATCCGCGCCTTCACATCTGCATCAGATCCACCATGTTCATCAATGATGCTGCCCAAATATGTAAAGGTTTTTACATCTTCCAAATGTTCTCCGTCAATTGTGATTGGATTGGTGCATGCTGTGTTGTATCGGAGAACCTTGCTCTTCCCTTTGTGTATATTGAGACTACTGCTGCTGAGGCTGCTGCTACACTGTTCGTCTTCTGCATTTGTTGTTGCGTTTGGGATAGAAGGGCCAGATCATCTGCGAAGTTCATGATCTCGCCTGGAGTCCGCCTGGAGTACCTCCGGGGGCTACTGCCGGTCCCAAGCCCGGATAAATGAGGAGGGTTGGGCATGGGGTTAGCGTCCCCATCCCGTAGAAAACTAACTCGCTAAAAAAAACGCTAACCAGGAAAATTATGGCACTATATATATATATATATATATATATATATATATATATATATATATATATATATATATATATATATATATATATATATATATATATATATATATATATATAGAGAGAGAGAGAGAGAGAGAGAGAGAGAGAGAGAGCTATGATGAAAAACTAATTGAAAAGGAATATTTATTCGTTCTGTTTGACGTTTCACAAAATTCCTAAATGAGAATTTTCACTCTTAATAATCAGAGAATTTCACCTCAATTCTTTCACATATTGTGTAAACAATGTTTTTATAATTATTGATTATGCTATTTTATTCAATTCTTGTATTGTAAATACAACACAAAACTAGTGTTTGTAAACAAAGTCGTTGTTAAAATCGATCGAAAATCATGTTGTTATATTTTTCAACAATTTATTACTGTTTTGTTCTAAAATTGAGTGTCCCATGTTTTCAACCAATTATTAGTTGCTATTTCTCTTCATAGGTGACTTTGTTCTATGTTATGGAAGATTATTTGTATTTACAGATATACTGTTTAGTATGATGGATTTTTTTTAAGATAGTGAATTATTTTTGTATGTGACAAACAATCTTTCTTATCACGTACAATATTGTTCACTAACTAAATTATTGTTAATTTACACCTTTTTTCAGTTTCTAATTTTCACTTCACTTTTGTGAGCATCGATTATGTTTTGTTCTGCTCTGGGAAGTTGAATGAGGAAGTAATAATCTAAGGACGAATCTAACATGACTACTTTAAATCGATCGACTGTTATTAAGTAACGACATTTGATCAAAATGCAATCATGTATATGAAATGAGACTAGTCATTATGTGAAGATTTCTAAATCATTAAAGTAAACATGACTGGTTAAATACAACTTGCGTGACTATATTAATTAGTCATAAAATAGTTCGTTGAGTAGTAAACTTCACTTGAACATATTGAAGAAAGAGTTTAAAAATTGCAATGTTCTACTAATTTGCTAGTCATGATTATATCATATATATATATATAAATGCCCTGGTACGGCCGAGAGTGAGGAGACTTCCGCTCTCCCTCTCGAAATGCTCTCACATGGCCACGCGTATATAGCCTCTTCCAGGGAAGTTCTACTCACTGTTTTCTCGTGGCATTACTGTTGTTTACGAAAATGAGAGGACTTAAGGCGAATGTCCAGCGCTTTAACCGGATTCCAAACCAATGGTCCACATGGGCTCCAGTATCCTGCGGGAACACATGGCGTATGAACCAATCGTTGGTCACCGGCTACCATGGGACTGCATCCCCTTACAATGCTCCACTGCCTTGTGGATCAAACTTTCTGGTCGAAGGCTCGGGGTGTGGCCCCCTAAGAAAACCACCTGCTTCGGTTTGTGCGCCCGAGCAGTATCGCAGCCCTCACATATATCGAATAAGATTTGTGTGGCGCATATGTAGTTGGTACCTCCTTGTACCAATATCTATGTGTTAAAATAAAATAAAATAAAAATTATATCATGAAAGGTATAAAATAACAATATGATTTCTCAACTAAATCTAACATCATTGTATCAGTAGCCTTAGGCTTCTATCATATGAATTAAGAAATATAACCCTTATAAAGATTTAATATATTTGCTTTAATTAAAAATAACTAAATAAATAAACTAAATGAATAGTACAAAGTCTAATTGATTCAGTTTTTTTTCTTTATTTAACCTTTAATAAAAATTATTATTTATGCATATAAAAAAACACAAACAAAATGTATTTTGCTCTCATGATTAACACTTTTTAGAATGAAATTGTAAAAAAGATTTTTGTTTTCTTTTACAAGAAAAAAAAATTGTTCATCTCACTTGTATGATGTGAAAATTATTTTGTTCTAGATCATTGAAATAAAGTTTATTTTAATTTTTTTGGGGTGGGGGTGGGGGTGGAATTGAGTACGTAGTTCAATTTCTCCTTTCACCATTTATTGATGAAGTTTGTGCACATTTAACATGAATGAATCATGTTCAACAAACTTATTATTTTTCTGTGATACATATTTTATTCCTTTTTAATTCCATGTAAACTTTGTCTCATTCACATGTATATTTATTCTGATTGAAGTGTTTAAGTTGTTAACGAATAGATCTTGACTACAAAATAACCTCAACAGTGCGTATCCATGATCCTGCCTCGCGAGATTTAAACTCAGGACCTATCAGTCTTGCATGCAAGTGCTTAATCACTAGACCACTGAGCCGGCCAACATCGAACGGTGTTAATGTCTAATTTAAACTAATCGACGAAATTGAGCGACATATCCACCATTGTGATCAATGAGTTACTATCTCACAATCTTCAATCGAATCATGATGTCAACTATTGAAATTAGTATAATATCCACAAAACCCCTTCAGATACAAAATAACTGTCAAGGTTTGTATGATTTTCATTAATTAGAAGACAAAAATAAATTTGTAATAAAGAAAGTCTAAGTTATTCAGTTCTTTTTCCTTACAGCTAGATGAAATAGCTAACTTTTTCCTAGATATAAATGATAAACATTTTTCAGATGAAGAAACTTCATTAATGGAGATTATACACAGACATTGATTGTTACGCGTAATTTTCCTTTCGATTTTGTTTCAGATATATATTTCGTTAGGTACTTTAACGGTTAGTCGTAGCCATTTCGTTGAAGAAAAATCATGATTAATGTATCTGAAACAAAAATCAAAAGTAAAATCACCATTGATACCATGAAAGGCTTCATTCCTGAAATTTCAGTTTACAGGTAATGCAACTGGCTAAATAGTAGTTCGACCTACACAAAAAACCTTGGAAATTATATTCAATGAAGTAACATTATATCCTAATTTCCTCAACCGGACGATTGTGATTTCACGAAATAATGATAAATTGTTTGGTTCCTCTATCTCTGCGCGTATTCACCACTTCAACTTCTCTTGTCGAGCTAGCTGTATTAAGCTCACATCTAGGTCAATAAATTGTCATATTTCTGAACATCACCCCTCATAGTTGACCGAAGAACAGATGAAAGTAATAAGAAGTTTTATCTGGAAGCATTAAGTTGACAATGGTCCTCACATAGATGAAACTTCAACATTTAAAGTCATTCACAAAATCCTATAGAACTTATCCTATGGTTTCAGAATCCAACTCACAGCATAAACCATAGGAATACATAGAAAAAATCTTTACCTCTGTATGCAGAAAAAGTTTATACAGCCTCTGGACTTTCGCTGGCTATCTACGTAGTTACTATTGCGTTTCTCAGAATTTTTCTAAACTTCCTATTTCATAAAATCCTAATTTTTAATTTGAAGATTACGTAGTGTGTTTAATAATTTGATTATTTATTCTTTATCACGCTTACTTTACTAATTATTCACAGATAACGCAATCATTTATCTGAAGTTTCAGATGATGTTCTTACTCTTATATAACTGATTGAGACGATCAACTGTTTATAAAATCTCCTCTTAGTTTTAATATTATTTTTTGAGTTATATTATTAACTGAAGCCTGTATTGCCAAATTAACTTAACACAATGAATTTGGTTTTGATTTTAGATTTATTTCTGAAACTTATGTTCTTATAATGAGCCATGATGAGGAACTGACTGAAAAAAAATCCCTGAACATTTAATGTTTCAATAGGTATATGTTATGAAAATAAATCCTTCAAGCCCTAGAAATCTGATTTATTCTTTTTCTACTTCATTTTAGGATTTTTCGCAAGTTTATTTACATATTTCGTTTCTTTGGTATTTATGTGATCATATATTAATTGAGTTTATCTTATTGCATATTGTTAGAACTTGTGCCCCCCTGTCCCATTAATGTATAATGTAATGATACCATCAATTAAGAGAACAGTGAATTATCGACTGGACGAATGACGCATTAAACCTGTACGAGCAGTGTAGAGTCCTTAGCTATCCTGCTTCCCGCCTAGCCCTACCTGTTAAGTTCAGAACACCATTCTCAGCCTCTGCAATATGAATCATTTATTTCAAAAATACTGGGTTTATAAACCAACCAAACAGACCACATCGTACCATAAAATAGGGAACAACATTTATACAAGATTTAGCCAAAAGTGTCTGTGAATGTGGGAGACTGTAACTAATAAACTGGGAATAACTTGAGAATGGTAAACCCTATAATAATAGTTCTTAGGTCAAAATAAGGCTTATGATAAGAGGAGCAGGAATATTAATAGTTTAGTTATTTAATAATTATACGATAAAAAGTATATACTCCAGAAATAGAATCCAACAGTTACCATTCATTATTCTCATCGGGATATAACACATTTTATTCATAATTAAAGGTCACTTAACCTCTTATTTTAAGCTGTACGGTCTTTCTTTGCTGTTCTATTCCACGTTTTAGATCTTCCTACTGAGTTTTTAAAAACCATATAGACTTTAATAAACTTGGGTGTTAGTGGGCTATAGATTGAATTAAAGCACATTCCATTCACAATTGTGTTGGTGCACTCTGATTGGTTATTTATTATCCAATCAGCGCTAGTCGATACTTGAAGACTCTAGAATCTTCTCATCTAAAAACTATAAATATACTAATGTTTCTCTTATTGTTATTCTTACTTCCATCTTTCCTTGTTATTTGGAATATAATTTCGTTACTGTTCAACCATGTTCTGATTTGGGTGTCCAAGACTACTAAGCAATAAGAATAGCTGGGTTGTAATAAGAAAAATTATAACACCAGTATACGCTCCCATCATTTTTTGATCAATTCCCTCTTCATATCTATACGTTTATCTTAAACAATATTTGTAATTTACAAATTGAAATGTTATTAAAAGGATGTTAGCAGTTGATGAACAAGAATTATTATTGAATAAAAAAAACGCTAATGTTACAGGGCCTTTAAATTTCCTTCTTGTTATTTCCAATATCATATTTATTGCTTCAGAGTATTATTGAAGTTTTTTATGTTCATGAAATGTTTCCTGACATAAAAAAGTGTCACACTTTTTCAGCGTTGTTTTGTTAAGCAAATAACATTTAGTGTTAAAAGTAGCTTAGATTTATTATATATATATTCATACAAAACTATGGGTTTTTTTTAACCTCCTTAACATCTCTGCATAGAAAGATGAATGACAGATGCAGTAAGTTCCTAGGTAATTTTATATGATGTGTATAATAATTATAAGGTTTTTATTGTCATGTTTATATTCTTTATGATTCTTTTGATCAATAGGAACAGGCGTTAGATTCTGATTCTACAGTATGTCATCGTCGTAGTTTAGTTGAAGAAATGTTAGAAAGTCTGGAACAATCTATTCATGTACCAATACTCAATGGTGGTGAAAGCAGAATATTAACTAATGACATGCTAGTAGATGTAAGTTATTAAATGTTTTAATTAGAAGTAGTAGTTTTAATCAAATGATATCCTTTCTTGTTTGTGCTTATTAACGTTTAAATGAAATTATTGATAAGATATTCACACTTAGGTAAGTTACAATTGCATGTAATTCAGAGAAATTTCTATAACTATATACATTATAACACTGATTTCTGGGTTTTTTTACTGGAACTTCTGAGTCTGTAAATAGTTCATCCTATGAATAAAAAGATCCAAACAATTGAGGTTGTTATAATAACTGTTTACTTTTGTAGTGTTTTTCCTATCACTGATTTCTTGTCTATTTACTTCTATCAGAATGTTTGTTTGCTCTATTATTTGAACAATCAACAGTTACGTTGATCATGTTGTAAACAAACTGTTGCTTTTTCAAACTCTAGATTATCGTAAGATCGTGTAAAATTATACGTTAATTACAATATAATCCATACTTGTACTAATGAGATGTATTTTATACGGTTACAGAAGAATTAATATACTCTTTTTATGTAAATATGGGTAGAAAATGTTATCACAAGCAGCATTACAATGTTTAGGTGCGTTTACAATTGTTTTCAGAAGCGATCTTAAATTTCATCATTTCATTACTTTCTAGCTTAGTGTTAACTTTCCTGCATATTGGAGTAGTTCTAACTTAAATTCTATCTACAAATCTGAAGATGATGGCTATTGTTTAAACACAGTGTACAGAAAGTGTAAAGATGTTGAAGGTAGTGTTTTATTGCTTATACGTGATACAATGGGCGTTGTATTTGGTGCAGTTATGTCGGAAACAATGAAATGTAGTCAACATTTTTATGGGACTGGTGAAACATTTGTCTTTCATTGGAAACCAACATTTAAAGTAAGTATTTTATACCTTATTTTACATAGTATTATTATTATTATTACATTGTTTATTCAATATTTTATTGGTATATTTTACGACTATTTACATTAAATATTTACTTTCAAATGATCAAGAGAACATAACCGAGTCCTAGAACTGGGTTTCACATTATCTATCAACAATCACTAAAATATACCGTGTTCACTTCGTCATTTAACTGTATGCATTAGTCACATGGATTATTACTGTTCTACTTTAGCTATAAATTTAAATCAACATATGTTCTCTTTAACTTTTAAACAAACTCTACTGACGTGTTAAAAATAACTAAGATCAGATATCATTCAAGCATTTGTTAATGAGAACTGTATAAATATATATCTAAATGTTTTACTCGTTGCTCATTACATACTTTGATAATAATTCTTTTATAGTGGCTATCACTAGAATACATGACAGTTATTTTGTCTTGTTTTGAATTCGTACTCTGAATTTTGTTGAATTGTACTGTTGTTCTTTTCAGTGAAACTCGAACACAATTTCATTAGCTTCTCTCACCCTATATTATGTTATATCCACAAAGCTGATGAGTTGCAATAGTCATAGTTTTTTTTTCAGTAAGAAATTTACGTCTATATGTTTAGTTGTTATAATATAGAATTTGCAACACAAAACCATATTTTCATAGATTTCACTTTGACTTCGATATGTATCAGTGTTTATCAGGGGTTCTAGCTTACATAATTTCACTTTAAAGCCCAGATTCTTAACTGTATGTTGATTATTATTTACTTCAATGCGTCCTTTCATTTCTGATTGGGAGCTTTTAAATAGTGTAGAAATATTATTCAGAATGTACAAAAATTTGTAGGGATTAAACAATGTATTTCTTACTAGTCATATTCTCATTAAACATCAAACACTGATTTCTTGTTATCTGAAAAAAGCTTACTCTAAATACTTTAGTTTTTTTAATGACTGTTTGTAACGTTTTCTTACACATTGTTGAGCAATTGGTGTTTAGTTTTTTCACTACTTTCGTCCTAGTATGGTTTAGTTGGAGTCAGACATTAGCACCGTTGAATGCCAGCTCAGTGGTCTAAAGGTTAAGTGTTCGCGCGCAAAACCGAAGCACGTGGGTTCAAGTCCCGCATGCGGGATCGTGGATGCGCTCTGCTAAGGAGTCCCATACTAGGACGAAACGCCTATATAGTCCTCGCAGGTTTTCAATGTTGGTCTAACATTGATCGGTTCACGATCTCAAACAAAACTCAATTATCTCCACAACCCTGTATTGCTGATCATATCATCATGGTGAAATTAACAAATAGTTGAATAATTAATCGATATGCTTAAAACCAGAATATATAAACATCAATATGATTATATAAACGATTATCAGTTCTACCCAACAGTATCTCATCGGTGATCAATTTAATATTGTCAGCATTTTTCATTAACTAATTAATAATTTTATCATTAAGGAGTATTTAAGGCAAATTCCTATTGTGGATTGACATCAGTTAGAGTGATATTTAGAAGAAAAGAGTATTAAACTGCTAGCGCTGACAAACTAATCAGTGGTATGTACGTACAACTCTACATTTAATCGAACCTACATTTTTCAGCTTTCGCATCAAGTGATATTATGCAGTGATTATCCAGTGTTATTGACAAAATTCGTACGTTTTTTTCTAATTACAGAAATATTGTTGGACTAAAAAGAATTATTTTTTCATGCGAGGATCTCTTCATTCATTTCATATTGGCGGTCAAAGGTAAGTTTGTTTATATTTCCAATTTTTGTGTATAATGCATCTTAGAATGTAATATGTACTTTTATATAAAGTTTAAATTTGGTATCTACTGTTTGTTAATTGAAGTTTTAACAAGTTTGAACTTTTTAACCCTGAAAACTTTTCCTCTTTGAGATCATAGAACGAAATCATTAAAAGAAACTTTGAGAGAAAATTGTTATTCTTTCTAATCGTTATATTTACTATATTGTTGTTGATCTGTTTTGCTACTCATCCTGTTAATTTCATCGTCTGATTGGTGTCATATGGCCACTTAAACCAACACATATGTCTGTTGGGCTCTGCGCGTGTTGATGATTGACTAACTGACTCTACATAAGAAATTATAATGGTCAATTGATTCATCTTAGCTTTGAACTATTTGGTAATTCAAAACATTGACTCTAAATTGAGTTTAAATCTGAGGCCATCAGATGACTCAATGAGCATAATAATTTCAAACTATACTGATTAAGAATTGAACGATTTGCATTTATTAACATTAGTCCATTCAAGATATTTCTTGACTCCTAAGTAGATCCTCTACATCCATTATTCCTTGTTTTAATTTCGTCTGGATATTTCCAGTAAGTAAAGTCTATAAACAGAATTTCACTGGAACAGGTTATTAAAATGGAATTATATGACAAATTATTTTATGAGGTCAATTCTTCTTTTTTCTTTTTGTCACAACAGTTATTATAACGACATTTGTCACGTTCTTTTCTTTGTTTTTGTCTTAAAGCGGACGAAATGCAATATGGTTTGATGAATCATTAAAATATGGTTGTAGTGAACCGACTGACACATTTGACAATCCTGTACTCAGTGGAAATTTACCAAATATACAATTCTCTTCTTTATCATTGAATAAATCTGATAAAAATGAGAATGTATTAATAGAAAACAATATTAATAATGTACATGTTAATTCTAATCCATTAAATTCAACAATAAAATCTTCATCTACAGTATGTGATAGTGTCCCATTCATAATTGATACATTTGAATTGTGGCAATTAATCAGTTGTTAGTGTGATAAAGTTTTACATATTTTTATTGTATTTGATCTATCTATATTTCTTATTATTCACTTATTACAAATCCATATTTGTTAAATTGTATGACAACTATGTTAGTATCCTTTTATTTCTTATGACATACTTTATGTATATGAATGCTGAATTGTGTAATAATAAGGATAGAAATTGTCAATCAACTTTTCTTTTTCTTTAGTTTATGTTTGACAGAATTGATTGAATTATTATTACTATTATTGTTATGAGTTAAAGGATTTATGATTTCAGCTTGAAAATTATATGTTTACAGGCAGTAATTAATAGATTGAAATAATTTCTCTCTTTTGTTACGTCATGTCATTCCATTGATTGATCAGTGTGCTTTGCTTCCTTTTTTTGTAAAATAGTTTTTATTGTTTTTTTTCGTTTACTAAAATATGAATAAACAAAACTATCACACTTGCTTTTGTGTCATTATCCACAATTATTTCATTTCATACCTACAATATAATATTTATGTTAAATCTATCAAAGCGTCTAAATCAACCAATTGAGGTATGCGCGAAATCGAATTTCACATAACAGTGATTTGTCTAAAAAGCGGTTCTTTATTGAATAATATACATAAATTAGTTACAAACTTCAACTTGTGAGGTATCTGTGGCATTAACCGCGTCTGTAAGTCTGAAATAAAGAGGGCTTCTTGCATTAGTAACATAAAGAATAATAACCATATACGATAGTACAAATGACAGCTGATAGTTGTGACTAAACTTGATAACAGTTTATCAACAGGCAAAAACAATTCAAGAATAAACAATGTGGAAACCGTTGCGTTTAAACAAGGATTGCATGACGACACAAAAGCTTTGAATAATTGCTACAGGGATTGGAAGAAATTAATTATAATGATTAATACAAAAATGTTATAAGAATATGTAAATATGACACTACAAACTTGCATTATAACACGCGTAGAAATTGCTAAGAATACAACTGTTTACTGGATATTAATAAGTAGTATAATGCAAAACACAGAATAGGTAAAGGGAAGAGAATAAGGGCAGAGATTGTAAACAGATTTAACAATTTACTAGGAATTATCTAACCACATTTAATGTAAATAATAACTTTTTCACGGTTTAATAGCAGCTATAGTGGACCGTTAAAGATTCATGAAGCACAGGGAAGTCGTTCAAAAAGCTATTGAAGTGCAAAGATTTACTTGGTACATTCACTACCATGTGGTAAATTTGTCTAATTTTCTCGAGTTGATTGTTCCCGCGTTATGTATAGGTTTCGAATGATTATTGAAGATTCCCTTAGATTTTGGAATGTATACTGGTCAAGCTAACTTTGATGTGATTACCTCAAGAGGATTTCTATCCTCAAATGAGATTACTTTCAGTTTTTAAACTTTTCATGGCATATCAGTAAACTCAATTGTGTCATTTATAAATTATCACCCTTTAGACCTATTGGAACGTTGCCTTCGTTTATTTGCAGGCTTTTTGGTTTTGCCTGAAGTTGGAAGACTAATTGAATAATTAATTAAAATATCCTGCTCATATTAAAATTTCTAATGCTGTCTTTGTTTTAATTTGAAACAATATAAGTGAATTTTTGTTAAGAAATCAATAATTTGATATTTGAATTCATGATTCAATTAACGCTAGACCAACATGGAAACCCTGGACGACTGTCTCGTCCTAGTATGGGACTGCTCAACGCTGCACATCCGCGAGATTCCAGGTTTTCCATGGTGCTCTAGCCTTAATTGACTCATGATATCAACTATTAAATTACTAAAACCCCTTTTGATAAAAACCATTAATATTAAATATTTTTCTTGTACAACGTATAGACAGCTCTTTTATATATAAATGTCTATTAGAACCCCTTGTGTTCATAAAAACAAACAATCAGACTTATTTCACTTGTTGAAATTATAAGTCAATTGAAGCTAGACCACCATTGAAAACCTGGAAGCACTGGATGGCCGCTTCGTCCTAGTATGGGACTCCTCGGCAGTTTGCATCCACGAAACGGCCGTCCACTGCTTCCAGGTTTTCCATGGTGGTCTAGCTTCAATTGACTCATGATTTCAACAAGTGAAATTTCTAAAAATCTCCACAAAACCCATTCTGATAATCAAACTTATGTTAATTAGGGAAATTAACTTCAAGTTTACATTAAACATTTTTTTACATTCCAAGGACATACAAAGTATGTACCAAACAGTTTGATTGAATATATCCACAATTAAAAATTCTTTTCCACACCTATCAACTAAAAACTTAATCGCTTTCTATTCTCATCAAAGAGAAACAATAAATCAATTTTAGAGAGATAAAATTAAAGTGATTGAATATCAGACACTTGGAATGTTATAATCAATAATTTTTATATTTACATCCATTCAAATATACCCTCCAAAGCATCTAGTAACATATTCATTATGAACTAATACTTAGGGACAATATTTGTAGAGGTGTACTTCCGTATGTTTTTAAAATATAACTAGGTATATAAATGTGGACAGCTGTTTTGTTATAGGTAAGTATCAATAACGGTTACTAAATTTGTTATAAAAGCTGATGATATCCCGAAATATTATTGTTCTACCAGTATACTTCATCAATTTAAGAAGTCTATCTTTTTAACTATCAGGAAACATTCACTGAAGTATAAGCTACTCAGTACCAGTTCAGAATGACAAATGCGTCACCTTCAACGAAGGACCCCGGAAGATGGAAACCAAAATCTTGTTTCTTAGCACTAAAAATCCATTTTCTAGTAGTTATTATAGAGAAATAGTGGATAAAGAAGAAACAAAAACAACCGTATGAATATATAATGAAGAATATAGCCAGTCCTACCTTTGATACATTTTGAAATGTAACAAATACATGTGATTCTTTTTGTAACTTAAATGGTCAAAATCAAAATTTATTATTCATTGTTGCATTTCTTTCCTAAAATTCAAGGTTGTCTGTAAGTATCAAATTAAACCTTGTCCTCATTACTTAAAACAATTCCTTGTATAAACACTTTAATCATACCTTATCATTTTTAATTGATTTGAGTTTCACACAAAAAAATACAGACAGCCTAAGAGTTTGTCGGAAAATTAAGATCACAAGTGTTTAAGCATTAAATGTCTATCAGATTTTGTTTCTACTGAATATTGATACGTGTAATAAATGGTTCACTTCTGAAAAATTGATTATTTATGTGATAGTTATGTATTCAGTTTATTAAACCATCCAAGATATGAAAACTGATTGTTGAATTAGCCTTTCATAAACTAAAACTTCTGAAAGGTAAACAGTTAAACACTTCTATTGGTTTGAACGAATTATAGACATGAATTAATTCAGATCTCGTATAAGACATTCTGTCACGTACTAGCTAGTAAGATATGTTTTTAACTATTGGATTTACTAACACTGACATACAGTCCTGGATAGAAAAATCTTACTGATTATAATAAAATATTATAGATATCATTTGTGTTAATATTACCAGTCATTAGTCACTCAAGTCTTTGTTCTACGTAATCTGGCGAGACTATAATTTATGGACGAACCATTCAGATTTATGATAACAGGTCATGGATTTTAGTATGAAATTCATTCATCCATTTGGCTAAATAGCGTTCTGAGGTCAGTTCGTGATGAAAACCCCAAGGCTAGTTTTTGACCCAAACCATCAACACCAAATCATAATCCTGAATCCTTATACTGGTTTATAACCCCTTAGTAAGTAGGTGGACATTTTCAAGGTCACTTAAGTGTCGCTCAAAGGTCATACATAAATTCTAGTCTCAACTTTATCATCATGAATTTCTCTGCTCTTTCCTATTTAACATTAATTATTTGTGATGATACATAGAAACAATAAACGTTTTCTCACTGAAAAATTTAGTCGGATTCTAAGATGAATTTCTGACCGTTATAAAGTCTATATTTACAGTAGTAAAGCACTTTAAAATCCTGGTTTCCTGTAAAACTATCTATTATTTTCACAGATTGAAATCATGAGTCAGTTGAATCTATACCACCATTGAAAACCTGGAGGCACTGGACGGCCGTTTCATCCTGTTATGGAACTCCTCAGCAGCGCGCATCCATGATCCCGCACCCCGCGGGACCCGAACACAGGACGTACCGGCTTCGTGCGCGAGCGCTTAACCACTAGACCACTGAGCTGGCATCCAACGGTGTTAATGTCTAACTTCAACCAATCCATTTATTATTTCTCGAAACAGTATTTTTCTAGAGGTAGGTTCTTTCATCACTTTGGTTTAAAGTGTGAAGGGAAACTCATGATATGCACGGTTTAATAATGTGAAATTATTTCTGAATTCAGATCAATTTTCTTTTCGACGAAATCATTCACTTTAACTGTACATTCGTATATATAGTTATATGGAAAATATATGTCTATAGGTGGATAGAAAAGATTGCATCACAAAAATGGATTCGAGACAAAATAACAATTTTGGTTACGTACTAATCAAGGAGTAAGGAGGAAAATAATTTATGGGTCAGATTATAGTTTTTTCGCTGAATTCTCTTTTTCTTATTCAATGATATTATAGGTTATTTTAATTATCAGATCAATTTATTAAGTCAAAACAACTGAAGTTTGAAAATTATTTACCAATTTAAAGCCTATGGGTAAAAGAGATAAGTTACAGATCGATGGCTTTAGATATCAAATATCGCTAAGTCATTAAAATATAACACGACTTGCTTGAGTTATAATTTCATTTTTGTAATTTGAATACTTTTAAATATCTTAGCTACACAGATTTTTTATCTAAAACCTTTACTTACATTGCAATAGGCGTGTCCAAAACTATCCCTGTCATATAATATAAAGGTGTGAGCCTGTGTATGTAACCATGTGATTGGTTGTTGCAACAGTGTTGCTTTCTAATAGTTGATGAGGGAAAACATAAGCGTTTTTTTTCTCCAGAATTTATATTAATCTTCCACTTTTCTGGATTT